TTACCCTTCCGGAGCACCTGAGATCACCCCTAGTTTATTGGTGGGGTTCGTGTTGCTTAGACTTTAGTTTTCTATGTTGTGTCATCTGTACTATTATTTGTCTGATTGTCTTTTTATTTTTGGCCATGGCGTTGTCAGTTTGTTTTCGATCTATGAGTTTGAATGTCCCTCTGGTATCTTTCGTCCCTCTTTTACTAACAAAGAATGCATATATAATCAATCTTCTAACTTCACAAATTTTGTTAGAGAGTCGGCTGAATTAAGACTTTATATGATGAAAAATAATTAATTTCCTTCTGTGAAAATGCACCGCATATACCGAATTGAACTGAATCGCCCCTACAGTGAAAATGAAAGTTTAGTATCATTATTCGACAGCAAACGCGAATCGCATATAACGAAAGCCGAAAGCCGCATAATGGAATTTAATTCATTATCAACAAGCTGAATGACATTACCTGTTTTAGTAATGCAACATTAATAATAATGTTAAAATGTTCATTTTTCTGCAAATGAAACTTACCTGCTGCTTTTAAGTCTCTTGCACGCTCTGTTCGTGAACTTTTCTTAATATTTATCTATCTGTGTATCAATTTTACACCTGTCGGATGGCTGCAGGCGCGATGAAAACCCGTCCGAATCTCTACCTATATCATGAATTTATAAAAACAGTACATAACATATATTATTTCTTGTTTTATTAAAAAATCATGAATTTGTCGTCTGTTTATTCATCAATCTTCATTAGAAATTCATAATGGATACAGTAATAATGGTATTTCAGGACTCGCACATTATATACACTGATTTTTATGCAGCAACATTTCAGCAGCGCCTGCCGCTATGGAGTATATATTTCACATTTGATACGATCGATATTTCAGGCGGCTTGCGTTTCCTATCATGATTTCCGGCTTGATTTAATACCCAATAATATTTTATTGCATTAATCAAGCAATAGGATTGGACACAAGTTATTACAACTTATACCGGTTTAAGTATATACAATACACATATATGATGACAGCAAACACATAAATAATATAGCTTCTGTTATAGAAAATAAAGAGAGGAGTCACACATTGGCAGGACAAAAAAAAAAGCAAAAAAAAAAGCTAATAGGCAGAAAAGAAGAAAAAAAAAGAGATTAAACTGCTGACTTGGAATGTTAAAATTTTGAATGTTTAATGAAACAACGAACTTTATCAAATTCATAGTTATTATATGCATAATTTCCAAACAATAGCGTTAAATATCAATGTGTATATTCATATTTGTAAGGTCATTAACCATAGCTATTCTTTGGTCATGATATAATTTGCATTCTAGAAAGTAATGGAGGACATCTTCTACAGGAGAACCGCAGGATCATTTAGAATCATTCACTAGATTTATCTTATTTAAGTCTGCGTTTAGTGAACTGCACAGGTGCCTATAATAGTCTTGTATGCAGTATATTAGATTTTCTGGACCCTTCACCATAATATATTGGGGGTCTAAATGGTTCACCCTTTATTTTTCGTTTAAATTGTGGGATAGTTGGTGCGTTTCTTATGGTTTGATTTAAATTATTCCATATTATGACAGTAGATGGTACAAATGACTTTTCAATTATTAGTATTCGTAGTCTACGACTAGGGTGTATATAATTATCATTATTTCTTAGGTTGTATCCACCTACATCAGATGCAAATGGAGGTAGACAGTCGATTAAATATTGGGGACAAGATATATTATGCATGCATTTGATAGAAAATTGTTAATTTTCGTTGTCTACGCCTTTCTGCTAGAGTTCCACAGCCCGTTTCAAAATATAAGGATACTAAATTAAGTAAAACTTGAAAATTTTGTTAGGCCTGTTACTATCCTTGCAGCTTTTAGTTGCATTTTTTCTAGTTTATTAGATTCATATTCAAAACACCCATCCCATACTTCGCATCCATATTCCAAAAGTATTCTTATAAAAGTGGCATAGATATTTGATAAAAAAATTTTGAAAACATTGCATGTGGGGTCTAAGCGTGATGCGGGATTGGCCGATTTTTTGTAAGCGTGACACGTGATTTCAAGTCAAATTATTTTGCGTGAAAACGGGAAGCGCAGTCGAGCGGGACGCATAAAATTACAAGCGCTATTATTACAATGATAAGCGGGATACGGGATTCTGGCAAAATATTAAGCGGGATCCGGGATCAGACCCTCCCCCTTCCTTTTGAGACCCCCAGTACATTTATTGTGTTATAGTAGTCTCCGGTTTTCACCATTAAATAGAATATTCATTTCTGGTGGTTTAACATTTCTAATTACCAATGCTTTTTTCTGATTAAAATCTACAAGCTATTTATTTAAACTGCCCGGGCTTGATAGAAGGTTGCGGCTAACAAAGAAGCTGTTAATTGGCGAAGTTGAAGTCATCCCTTCGAAAAAAATTACCCGGCGGCGCCATTACGAGTTGGTTGACCGTCATTTTTCATGTCTTTGGAAAGGGGTCTTGGATTTATTTTCATTCTTTAAGATGGGGACTCCAGTGGAAAAATCAGTAAGAGAAAATAGGGTCTTTATCAAAAAAAAAAAAAAAAAAAACAAAGACACGGACCTTTCATTTTCTTCTGCTTTTTAAGTTCCGTTATATACTTTCGATTTATATATAATAGTCTTTTATTAAATACTGAAAACAAGGATTTATTTAGTTATCTTATTATATAACTGAAAGGGGGCAATAGGGGGTCCGTTAACATGTTAACAACACCTCGATTTTGGCAAAAAACAGTTAACAGCTGATAACAGTTAACACCAACTTTAAACTGAATAACAGATAACAGTGGTGTAAAAACTTCAATAACACTTAACAACCATATTGAAAAATCGAACAATGTTAAGGTATTTGATTGTTCTATCTGAATTTGAGGAGCTTTCAAAACAAAACAGCGGCTGTCTTGCAAAAAGCAGGAAATGCTCACCCTTTCCAAGCACCTCAATGTTTTCATTAAGTTTTGGAATAAGAGGAAATAATTTCAGAATAGCAGGCAAACTCATTTTGGCGAGGGGTCTGGGGGCCGCTTAAGGCCCCTAGTAGGTCCAGGGCAAAGCCCTGTTAGGGGGTCGCCGCCCGGCCGAAAAGAGAATTAGCCAATTTGAAGTCATTTTTCGGGGCCTCCCCGCGCTCAAAAATAGTCATTTTGAGATCAGAGAGGCCCTAAAAGATGACATTTTGAAACAATATTTTGACTGTAGCCATGCATATTTAAAGTCAGTCACGGTTAAGCTGCATGACCTGAATATACATTTCTGAACATTTTCCTGCCGGTTGGGTAAAACGTAAAATCACAAAAATACTGAACTCCGAGGAAAATCCAAAGGGAAAGTCCCTCATCAAATGGCAAAATTAATAGCTCAAACACATCAAACGAATGGATAACGACTGTCATATTCCTGACTTGGTACAGACATTTTCTTATGTAGAAAATGGTGGATTGAACCTGGTTTTATGGCTAGCTAAACCTCTCACTTTTATGACAGTCGCATCAAATTCCATTATATTGACAACGATGCGTGAACAAAACAAACAGACACAATAGGTAAAAATGTCAAAAATAGGGGTACAGCAGTCAACATTGTGTTATAATCTTAATCACTATAAAAACAAACAAATATGACAAAGAAGTACAAAAAGGCATACATCAAATTTAACATCCTCATTTTGCTTCTTTACTATACGATTTTATTTATCTATGTAAAATCCACCCATAAAGGATGGAAGGTTTTAAGTACCGGCGTAGAATCTGGGTGTTAGAAATGCATTGTTTAACGAAAAGTATTCAAAGCTTAGTACTCTATTGTGTTTTTTCTTGAATTATTACTTGTATTACAGTTTCAAACAGAATTCATTGGTAACATTAATTTATGCTTTGTTATTTCAATAAATCGTTGTCAAATCCTATCCTAGCACCCCGGCCAACTCCATAGATCACAAGGTGTTTCGAACATCTATTTAGACCAATTAGAATAAAACTAATTGACCATGGCCATGTCCATCGTCAGGAGCCCCAGCCATTACATGGGGACACTTAATCATGTTAATCTTAAACATACTGTATTTTTTATAAGACGCTCGACACTTCGTATTCTGTATGACTAATACTTTTCTATACTCTTTCTTATCTGGCCATGTTTATCAATTTAACAAATATAGTATAGAATATATTTTCATAATTTGCAACATGTTAATTACCAAGCTGAGTTGCAGATGTAACTGTGTCTTTCAAGTTTTTATGCCTACGGAAAGAGAAGAGAGGTCTTCTATCAAATAAAAGTTTTGCCTCTTCGTCATCTTTTGATTTATCCTAGTATTTTAAAATATTTTTCTTTAGTGTGTTTCTGTCTTGAAAATGCTGTGGAGAATACTAAGTGAAGCCACTGTAATACAGATTTGGGTTTAACCATTCATGTGTCATTTCTTTGTTTTGCAGTCACCTCCTGCATAACAGTTTTAATTTCATTTTCTTTATATCCCCTTTTAATCAGGCGTTCAGAAAATAACGCATATTGTGTTTGCAAATCTACTGGATCGTTCGCATCTCAGTTAAAGCGACTATATGATAATTTCTCCATGATTAATTATGCCTCTAAAAGTAGAGGATGGATGGCATGAGGATCTCTCTAAGTACTGATTATTTTCAATTTTTTTCCAAAAAAAAAAACAGTTTACAGAGATAAATTATGTCAAAAACAGTGAACACTTTAAGTGTCAAGTAACAGGTAACAGTCATCTCAGTTTCATATAAAACAGTTTTAGGATACACCATTGCCAATTTGAACAGAACAGATAACAAACAGTGGGTTGAAAACAGATAACAGTTTATATATATTTCAGATAACAGTGAACAACACCATGAAATAGCCCAAAACAGGTTAACAGAAAAAGATATCACCCCCCCTGAAAATAAATAGCATCATTTCCCATAACGAAAGTAAAACGTCAGTTACGCATGCGTCAATTTGCTCAAAAAGTTGTGAAGTGTGCTGTAGTGCTATTTACGAACTTTTAACTAGGTAAACTACGAATTGGCTAGCCTATACTGGTACACTGGGAAAATATTTGTAAACGAAAATGTTATGACTAATCTATTTCAGTTTTTATGTTCAAAATTTATGTAAAAAATGTTATTTCTTTTCGTTAGTAACGCTAAATTTTCTACTTTCGTTTTCTCCTTGCTCTATCAAAAAGTCTATATACGTTATTTTATGAAAGAAACCAACATAATTTAGAAGTTAATGTTGTTTACAGAAGCTATTCGTTTCCATTCCTAATAATTAAGAAAAAATATGTATACGACTACTTTCATTTTTCAGTTTAGATCGGCCGTCTTTTCACAAAACTGTCTTCACAACTCAAATTGGTGCTCGGTTCCTTGTCGAAGTTATTGCCCCTAAAGTAGAGAAATATAGCAACAAGAATGATCAACAGGACAAGATCAGTGGCGGATCCCAGAACTTTTTGTAAGGGGGGCCCACTGACTGACCTAAAAGGGGGGGGGGGGGGGGCTCCAGTCATGCTTCAGTGACTCCCAATATAATCAACCAAATTTTTCCCACAAAAGTGTTCTAAACATGGTAACACATGAAGTAAAAATTGCAAACATGTTGCACAGAAAATATAAACCTGGATAAACAAAGCACAAGAAATAAAATCATAAATATTAAGGTAAAAAGTACTAGAAGTTATTTCTTGGAAATCATGCTGACGTGAAAACCCATCAGTCAACTTTTAGCGTCTGCTAGTTGCATCTGATCTGAAAAAGAATATTTAAGTACTTATAGGCTATTAATGAAGAGAACAATTAATATCCTGGGAACCATTTTATTAATACACAATTTAAAACAATATCTGTGCTGACTTTGAGTAAGTCCTGGTTTACTTTTTAATCAAATGCGGGACAAGCATGAGAAATTCAGAGTACCGACATGAAACACAGAAAATAAATAAGGGGAAACACGAAGCATGCACATCAAAACCAAACATGAAAACTGAGAAATGAAACGTCAAAACACGAAAACACGTGAAATAAAAAGGCTGAAGATGTTGCACAGAAATAACCCTTTACCACCCTCTATAGTAGATTCATAGTAGATAAAGGCAATCTCTAAACAGCAAAAAAGATCAGCAAGACAAGATCTGCCAATACATTAACCTGGCCAATTTTTATACCACCACAAAAAATTTTTTGGGTTCGTATAATGCTATGATGTTGTCGTCGTCGTCGTCCGAAGACACATTTGGTTTCCGGACAATAACTTCAGTTTATATAAATGGATCTCTATGAAATTTTACAAGAAGGTTCAATTCCACAAAAGGAAGGTTGGGATTGATTTTGGGGGTAATGGTACCAACAGTTTAGGAATTAGGGACCAAAAAGGGGTCAAAAACAAGCAGTTTTGTAGTTTGTAGACAATAACTTGTGTGTTAGTGTATGGATCTCTCTGACATTGTACCACAATGTTCCATATCACAAAGGGAAGGCTTTGATTGAATTTGGGGGCAATTGTCCTAAACATGCAGGAATCAGGGGCAAAAAAGGGGCCAAAAACAAGAATATTCTAGTTTCCAGACAATAACTTGTGTTTAAGTGTATGTATCTCTCTAAAATTGTACTACAAGGTTCCATACTACAAAGGGAAGGCTGGGATTAAGTTTGGGGGTAATTGCTCCAAAGTGGGGGTCAAAAAGTTTGGGGGGGGAATTTTTTTTTTTCATTTTTTTAAGGGGTTCATATTTTTTTTTTTCAAAATTTATCAAATTTCAATAGATTTTTAAGATCTTTGACCTCATTTATTTTGTGTCAGAAACCTATATTATGTCAAAAATGTGATCACAATCTAAATTCAGACAGTATCAAGCTTGAATATTGTGTCTAAATTTGCCCCAACTGTTCAGGGTTCAACCTCTGCGGTCGTATCAGGCTGCGCTCAGCGAAGCATTTTATTTGATATTATTCATAAACTATATATTATTGACAATGAAAAACTGTAAGAGTCACCGACCATGCCATAGCCTAATGGGTAGTCAAGGTTGATAAAACTACCCTAGTAGTAAGAGGCAAAAATGATCAGCAAGACAAAATCTATTAATAAGTTGACAAAATTGTCCTTATTGCAGTAATCGCCCTTAATTGAGGATTTTCCCCCATTTTTATGTGTTTGGCAAAAACTATAGAAGATAAAGAGAAAATGTAAACAAAAAAAAAAGGATCAGCAAGAGAAGATCTGCAAACAACAAAGCTGAAATATTCAATACACTTCTCATAGAAGTTAAAGTAATTGCCCTCAAATGACGGTTTGTATCCATTTCTTATTTTTTTGGCTAAAACTATTATAGCCCAGTAGTTAGCACTTCTGTGTTTACATGAATAATCATTGATATAGTTATAATTATAAATTAACTGTTTACAAAACTTTGAATTTTTTAAAATACTTAATATTTTCTAACCACGGAATAGATTACCTTCAACATGTTCAAGTTGGCTGTATTTGGCAAAACCCTTCAGAATTTTGGGTCCTCAATGCTCTTAAACTGTGAACTTTATTTGGTCTTTTTCACTTTTTGGATTCGAGCATCTAATGAGTCTTGTAGACGAGATGTGTCTCTTGCATACAAAATTTGAATCCTGGTATCTATGATGAGTTTCTAGATAGAGAGAAACTGAAACCAGAAAAAAATTATTAGCAATACAAGATCAACAAAAAAAGATCTGATTAGTCATGAATTATATTCTAATCTTCAGTGTTGGAAAGAACTATTAACAAAAATACAGAACTCCAAGGTAAATTCTAAAAGGGTAAGCCCAAAAAACCTGACAAAATTAAGCGTTAGACTTTATCAACCAACAGAACAAATGTCAAGTAACTGTCATATTCTGGACTTGAAATACACATAGATGCAGGTCAGCAACATAGGCTCTTGTGAGCCTCTAGTTTATTTACATCATGGTTTGAGAGTGTGGTAAATTGTGGAAATGTTATAGGAAACTTGCATTTTAACTACAATGTATTATAAACAATTCCTACTGATTTATAGTAATTTGCCTTCCTATAAACTCCTCCATCAATGTGAAACATGCTTAACTGCAATAATTAGTTTAGACACATTCAATAATTAAAAAAAAAGTAGTGCTTAGTAATAATTATGAAGGGAAATCCTGAAATAACGGGGGGAAAAAATAACACCAGTTTAAAATGAAAAGAGATATTTTCAGCCAGTTTTTTGCAAAGAGTTCCTTAGTTTATAGGCCTTTCAGTAAGTCCCCTTAATGAAGGATGAATGCCAATAAATGTTTATAAAATAATACAATTATAGCTAATCAAAAGCTGTAGACAATTTTCTTGCCATTACAAATGCAGACAGAAAAAACTATACGGTTGATTGATTTCTTGCATTTTCAATATAACATTCCTAGAGCAGTACCTTTGGATTGCAAAAGAAAAAAAGTAGGGGTTGTGCTAATCTTTTAGCTAGAAATACTGGTAAATAAACAAGAGTATTTATAATACCAACTCAATTTAACTTTTTTAGCTAAATTATGTTTGCAGTGTATTCTTAATGTCATGAATGTAACTTGGTCATGCTATTATTCCAGCTGTAGATACAAACGCTATATGAATTAAACCCATCCCTCAGTAGATTTTTCTTTGCAAATACTTTCAATCCATGTAACCAATTTGATGACATTGTGATTTTTCAGCGAATTTTTTATGCTTATCATTAGCAATGTTGCAAAAACAGCGCACTAGATTTAAATGCATTATTATCTGCCCTTGCTACTGTATCAGATGCCTTAAATGATGATGACATTCAGTATATGAACTCATTATACACAAGCTACAAGTCTTAACACTAGAACCTTGTCAAATATCATGGCATAATGGCTCATTTTTAGAAGCTGAGCCATATGAACTCTATAAATGATTCTCATGTCTTTGGATATTTCTAGTGATGCTGTATACTTCATCAAGTTAAGTATAGGAATTTCTATATTCAAATGATATTGTATTTCAGATAAATGAGGAGACAAAGAGATTTACCAGTTTATACTCACTGAAATAATGAGTGGTGAATCTGATGAAGAGGAGTTTAAGGACGCCAGAAGTAGAAGCTCTGATAGTGATGAAAGCGATGGTACTCCTGATCAATGGAATGCTCCTGAAATGCCTCAAGATTTTACTCATTTAAACCAGGACAATAATACTACAGTAGACACAGGATTTGTAAGCTCTTTAAGTAGAGTTCACTCAAAAGAGGGGAATAATCCACCCCCTGTACCCCCCAAAAGTTTTAAACAGAAAAGAGATGCTTTTGAAAAACCAACAGAAGAGAAAAGTGACACAGAGGAAGAGGATCAGAACCAGCCTTTCTTTAGAAACAAAACAACTGAGAGAGGAAACAACAGTGAGAACAGAATGTCTGTAAAAGACAAGGCCAAAATGTTTGAACAGTCAGAGGAATCATTCAGATCCAAATCAGTGGAACATTCACAAGGTCCTAATCCATTTATGGCTGTGAAAAGGCCTCCTGAATATTTTGCTAACAGACAGGATGAAATATCAACTTCAAAAAGTGCAGAAATGGTAGTGGAAACTAATATTGACACTGGTCAGCTGGAAAACTCTTCTCACATATCAGAACCATTTCAAGAGGCTGTGATTCAGAGTAAAGGTAATGGTGAAGAAAGTCAAAGCATAAATAAACCATTAGGACCAACAGTAGATTCAGAACAACATTATAGGCTGCAGGATGAAGATGTTGAAAAAACATTAAGGGGATCTCCTCAACTGAAACACAAAGAACAACAGGAACATCCTGAAGCTGAAAAGTTATCATCAAGGCAGCACCATGACCAAGAGAGCCACTTCATCTCTGAGATAGAAAGACCATTCCCATGGTCACAACAACATACAAGAACACAACAGCATCCTGGGCCAAAGTCGTCACATTGGGGATGGTGAGTATGTGACTGCTTAACTCTAAACTTTTTTTAGAGCACAATTAATTTTCTAAGGGTGTGTAGTAGTTATCAATTAGAAAATATGACTTTAACTCACTTCTCCCAGAAAAATAGTATGCATAGGGTTAAAGTACAAACTTGTACTTGATCCATTATTTTGAAAGCCATAATAGGTAGAGAAAACCATGCAGGGCAAAAATGATAAGAATGTCTAGATATACCTACTGTTCATTATAACCAAAATTGTCAGACTAATTGGCTATTATCTGTACAATTTTAATAGATATGTGTAGAAAGAAATTTTTGTAAGTTATGAAGATCAGCAAGACAAGATCTACAAACATGACTGAAATCTTAATTGATTCCTCATGAGTATATAATGCTCTTAAATGACAATTATTGTCAAACCTGCAACATTTTGTTGTGGAAGCGAGACATAGCAATCCTACATTTTGTATGCATTTTTCATTTTCCAGGTTTTGCAGCCGTATATTGGTATCACGCCGTCGTCGTCCGAAGACACATTGGTTTCCTGGCAATAACTTTTGTTTAAGTGTATTGATTTCTATGAAATTTTACCATAAGGTTTATGACCACAAAAGGAAGGTTGGGATTGATTTTGGGGGTTATGGTCCTAACAGTTCAGGAATTAGGGGCCAAAATGGGGCCCAAATAAACATTTTTCTAGTTTCCAGACAAGAACTTGTGAAATGGTGTATGGATCTCTCTGAAATTATAACACAAGTTACCATATCACAAAGGGATGGTAAGAATTTGTCTTGGGGGTTGTGGCTCAAACTGTTTAGGAATTAGGTGCAAAAAAGGAGGAAAAACAAGGGTTTCCAGGTTAATGGACAATTACTTAAGTACAAAACATAATTTTAAAGCAGTGTAAGGGAGGTAATTCAAACACATATTGTGAAATTACCTCCCTTACACTGCTTTTAAATTGTTTTTAAAGAAATGTATTGTCTTTAGGTGATTAGCTGTCAATTTATTTTTAGAAGTTACTATTTTAAAAATGTTTAATAAAGGTAATTTAATTATAGCCATGATTATGTAAGTGAAGGAATTTTATTTTAAGATATTACTATTTAATGTTGCTGATGGAGGCTTTTTAATTTTAAAAAAGCATTTTTCTAGTTTCCAGACTAAAATTGTGCTACAAGGTTCCATACTACAAAGGAAAGACTGCAATTGAGTTTGATGGTTAATGCTAACAGGGGATTCAAAAAGTTTGGGGGGAAAGGGGGTTTCCAATTTTTGTTTAAAAGGGTTGATATTTTTTTTTCAAAATTTTCAAAATTTCAAATTTTGAAAAGTTTCAAGAAGAAATCTTCAATTGCACAGTATTGCGCATTAGATTTGTAAGTTATTTGACCACATTTATTTTGTGTCAGAAACCTATATTCATGTCAAAAATTTGATCACAATCCAAATTCAAATAGTATCAAGCTTGAATATTGTGTCCAAATTTGCCCAACTGTTCAGGGTTTGACCACTGCAGTTGTATCAGGCTGCGCTCAGCGGAGCATCTTATTACTAATAAAAAGACTATTTTTTTTTTTAAATTATTGGGAAGGAAATGAAACCTACCCCAAGAATCAGTTGGTGTTTACCTGGCCATTTGAACTTTTGCAAAGTTAACTCTCCATTTGAACAAATACAATAACTATTGTTTTCTGTGGTGTTGGTAAATATAGTAATAATTGAAAGAGTTAATGTAAAAAAAGACACATTTTGGTAATATGCATTTTAACTTTTTTTCACTTAAAAATTCAAATTATAAACTAATTTTGTAAACTTTGATAATAGGCCAGGTACTCCCCCACCTCAGGAAGGAATGTATAGCCCTGGCAGACAGTTCTCTCAAATGCAGCCTCAATACCAAGGTGTTCCTGAAGATCCATCAGGTTTCCCTCGTCCAGTTTATAATCCTTCAAATACAGGTCCAAGAGAAATGCAACCAATATCTCCTGAACAACCTCATGAATGGAATCAAAGAGGACCAGTACCATATCCCTATGGATTTTATGGATTTCCACATCAACCATTCCCTGTTCCACCAGAGGTAGTTAATCCTGATATACCGGTATTAGGTCAAGTGCAGAGAACACCATCCAAAAGTCAATTTACTGGACAAGGCCAAACAGAGCATAGTTCTCATCAAACGTATGGTGTGCCCCAAAAGCTTAAACCAGAACCCGAGCATGGTACACCATCTAAGAAAACAAAAAATCCTGTCAGACAAGTTCCAACAGGAAAGGGAGAGATACAAGGAACTCAGCAAAAGGAAGGAGCAGAGAGTACCAGTACATCAAAAAAACAGGATGGTAAATCTGGAGGACTCAGAAGGAAATTAACCCAAGAAGATGATAGTCAAGAGGAACAAGGTAATTAATTCAATAAAAAATTTGCACAAAAAAGACATGTTTTTCTATGTTGTGATGTTATACTATTGTTTCAGAAAAGGGAGAAGGTTTGGTACCATTAAAACGTTTAATCCCGCTGCAAATGTTTGCACCTGTCCTTAGTCAGGAATCTGATTACAGTAGTTGTCGTCTGTTTATGTAGTTCATACGTGTTTCTCGTTTCTCGTTTTTATATAGATTAGACCATTGGTTTTTCCGTTTGAATGGTTTTACACTAGTAATTTTTTGGAGCCCTTTATAGCTTGCTGTTTGGTGTGAGCCAATGCTCCGTGTTGAAGGCCGTACCTTGACCTATAATGGTTTACTTTTATAAATTGTAACTTGGATGGAGAGTTGTCTCATTGGCACTCATACCACATCTTCCTATATCTATGTATGAGAAAATTCACATTATATGAGTAGCTGTAGTAGACTCTCTTTGCAGGTGATTAGTCATCCTGATATGAGTATATAAGTGATCTGGAAATGATTATATTAGATAAAATGACCTTTTCTTTTGTGCTTATCTTGACTTTAAAAATAGTTGTCAGACTCAGTTAGATAGAGTTCATGATGTCTTTTTATATATTCAGTAAATATGTAATATCACCAGTCCAATAAAAATGAAATGGAATATTTTACTGCTGTTATCGCTGTACATTAATATTTAGAATACCCCCGCTCTGACGGAGGGGACTGACGGAGGGGATGTGTACTGCTTTACCCTTATCTGTCCATCTGTAATATTTGTAATCAGGCTTCATGTCAGCAGAGACATATATACACAGAGATTGGCAACTCCAACAGTGGTCAGCGAAATCCAAGTTAAATCGCGTGGCCCAGCATGACTTTATCGAGAAGAGATTATCACCATTTTGTAACAACTAACAGAGAAGATCACAACTGACTTACGATTGTTATTTTACCTCAAGCATTTTAAAACAGCATAATGTAAGTATATATTTCAATTTCTTATATTATTTACTTTCTCTTATTCAGTTTGTAGCAATACTTAGGTGAAAATATTGTGACGATTAAAGTTTTATTCCAGTCATTAATAAGGGGAAAGCTGGGTCAACATGGACATTACGAAAATTTTGAACACGGTTTCATTTCTTGGTAAAAACTTTTTTCACTCTAATTGAAAGAAAAATATTTGCGGATGAAATAGCTTCTTAGGACATTCAGGCTCTATCTTTATCAGTTGAATTTTGAAAATTTTCACCAATTTTGATGCAATTTACACAAAAAAAAATCAGTATTATGGCTGTCTGCCATGTTGATTTGGTTATTTGTATAACAGACCCCTGTACATGTACTAGTATCTGGTTTTAATAGTTGCTCATCTTCAGAGAATGGTTGTACTTATCACTTGAATTACTTACAGGCTTTGTCTATATTGGTTGCATTTTAATAATTTTCAATCACTTTGATGCAATTTACTATAAAAAAATCAGTATTATAGCTGTTGGCTATGTTCATTTTGTTAATTTATAGAGACAGACCCCTGTACTAGTCCTTGGTTTTAAAACTGGTTCATCTTCAGATAATGATTGTACTTATTACATGAATTACTTTCCTAAGACATACAGGCTCTGTCTATACAGGTTGAATTTTTAAATATTTGTGATTAAAAAAAAAAAGGCGGAATTATAGCTGGAAGCCATGTTATTTTGGTCATACAAATAAACAGAGTCCTGTTCTAATGTGTCTAATGTGTCTGCTCAAAATTTATTTAGGTTCATAGATTTATTCTGCTTACATCTATTGAAACATCAGAAAATAATGTTCCTCATGAATTATTGTTCTCCTGACAACATTTCATAGAGAATATTGTTCGCATACAATATTTTATTAGAAAAAACTCTCAATTAGAATTTTCTTTTTGTCAAAGTTGCCAATCAAAATAATATAAAGTTAAAAACCAATAGCCCTCTCTCAGAGTTAAATAGTTGTTTCCTGAAATCAAATGTCACCAGTTTAAGCCAAATAAAAATACATAATTGTATTCTGTCTCCTGGCAGAAAAATATAGGGTACATGTAGGTTACTTGTAGTTTATATATATTTACATTCAGTATCTGATAGCATTTTTTTTCTTTTTGAACAGGATCCTGTTTTAAAAAGAACAAAGCTATTGATAAAATTTCCCTAACAGCGCAGCATACAAGAGATGTTATAACATGTGCTGAATGCAGGACTCCCAATTCTTTCTGTTTGAAAATAAGACTCCCTGGCAGACTGTCAGGAACAACTATTAGTGATTACTTTTTTCAGAATATGACAACACAGTCATGGAGTGGACCGATTGCTACTCCTATCAGTATGATACCTAAATATGTTTTTTGTGAGAGAAAAACTTACATGTGTTTATCCTGTGAAAACACCATATTATTGTAGTTCACATGTCAAACTTGATGTATGCGCTTTTTGTGCAAGTGATGGTGGCATCATTGAACTAAAAACAAATACAAGACTCTGCTTCCAATCTATTGTATTTGAAGCAGAAGTGGTAGAGTGGCAGTTGTGCAGAGATCATATGGAAAGAAATGCAAATAAATATCTTGTGTTCAACTTCATTTGTCTTCTTTATGAAAAGTTTACAAAGTATACATACATGTACATGTATAACAATATGGTGATGTAGTATGATTGCCAATGAGACAATGATGTTCTATAATATCTTTGTACATTATGAAAATGGATTTTGATTTTGATTTTTTTGGTGTATTAACGCCACTTTTAAGCACCACTTTTGGGCTATTTCGTGGTGGCCAGTTTTTATTGGTGGAGGAAGCCGGAGTGCCCGGAGAAAACCAAAGACCTTCGATAGGAAAACTGACAATCCTAGTCAATTAAGATTGGAGTCGAATGCACCCGCACGAGCGGGGTTCAAACTCACAACCTCAGTGTTGACTGGCTAGTGATTACAGTAGTAGCTACTTAGACCACTCGGCCACAGAGGCCCCTTTATGAAAATGGAAAATGCTACCTTTGTAGCATAATGTAAAAAAAGAAAATATTATATTAGTTTATGCCACAACACCCCTATGAATATATAACTTGACAGTACATGTACTTAAAAAAGCTAAATATTTCGATTCACAAAGTCCTTCCTCTACATGTATATGTAAAGTAACATATTTAATTGACTTAACATGAAATGACAAATGATGTAGAATAAGAAGCAAGAAATGTTCACTCTACAGGTACACTAGCTATATAGTCTTTACGGGTTCATATTGGTCATCATCTATGTATGTTTCAGTCCTTTTACAATGGTGCTTGTTAATACTTATCTTTTGTGTTGCTTCAGTTCTACATGTCCTCATTCTGTGATCACTAAATCACATCTCGTGTTTTGAAAAATAATGTGTATGCAAATATTTTCTGAAATACATTGATGCTATGAGTAAAAGGAGATGTGGTTTATATGTCAATGAGACAACAACAAAAATATTCTTAACACATCTAAGTATGTTTAAGAATTCTTGTGTAGTACAATAGCACATACCAGTAATGTTTATTTATATATCGGTGACTTGATACATGTATGTACCTATTGATGCATTCCGTCCTAAAAATAAGTTGTGTGAAGAGCCCAAGCAGTTTATTTGCTAATAAAAAACTGATATTAAAATGAATTCCTGTATAACAAATTCAGGGAATGAGACACTATGATATCCTATTAAAACAAACCACAAGATTATTAGTGGTTACGGTTTATTTTAAATCTTTAGAATGACCAAAGTAGCTTAAAATAAGCAAACAGAGGCAGAAGATGTCAAGGGGCAATACAAAAATGACAAGGTCGTGTAAACACAGTGGAAAAAAATAACAAAAGAAAAGAAAATAATAGCCCACATAGCACTACACCAAAAATTACCTTGAGCAACACAACCAACAAAAGATCAGATAGAACTTATGAACAATTTCAAATCTGTCTTAGTTCACTCCCCAACAGCAAAGAGTAAAGATAAGAATGTTGCAGTACTCCGGTAGTCAAATGAAACAAAAATAAAAAGTATTTCCATGGGATTTGAAGACCGAATCTAGGGGTCAATCCGGCCATTTTTAAAAGGGGTTCCAACCATATGTCCCCATTCAAAAGCATTGATCGTCAAAAAAAGGGACTTCCAACTCTCTGAACACCCCCCGTGATAACTATTAATCTATAATATAAGAGTCCAAACAAATACTTTTTAAATTTGTATCATGCTGAAACTATTTACACCGAAAACAAAATGTAAGTGCTTGTTTTTTCATGCTATTTGAAAATATTTTTAATCAACTCTAGCGAAACTGTACTGGACTTCAACTGTGCAAAAAGTCTAGCTGTTGGTTGAAACACCAAGCAAATATTAAAGTTGAAAGTCATGGTAATCAATTTCTCACGAGACAAAATCGGACATTTGACAAAATGCCACTGGCTGTATTTTTATACGCCCGTCAAATTTTTGACGGGACGTATTATGGTATACAAATGTCCGGCGTCCGTCCGTCTGTCTGTCTGTCTGTCTGTCTGTCCGGCGTAAACATGTCGCACCGTAACTTGAGAATGACTTATCCAAATTTCATGAAACTTAACATAGTTGCTTCTTATGATGGTCAAACGATCTGTATACTTTTTGGTGAAAATAAGATTAAAACTTTTTGAGTTACGGGACTTAGTAACTAAAACAGGTGTGTGTTCTTTTTCACATGTCGCGCCGTATCTCAAAAACAATTTATGATTATTGCTTAAAACTTTACACACTTTTCAGTTATATTAACCTTAAGATCTGTATACTTTTTGGTGATGATTCAAAATTTCATTTTAGAGATATTGAGTATTTTGTTAAAAAAGGGGGAGGGGCATTTCACATGTCGCGCCGTATCTCAAAAACAGTTTATGATTATTGCTTAAAACTTTACACACTTCTTAGTTATATTAACCTTAAGATCTGTATACTTTTTGGTGATGATTCAAAATTTGATTTTTGAGTTATTGAGTATTTTGTAAAAAAAGGGGGAGGGGTTTTTCACATGTCGCGCCGTATCTCAAAAACAATTTATGATTATTGCTTAAAATTTTACACACTTCTTAGTTATATTAATCTAAAGATCTGTATACTTTTTGGTTTTGATTCAAAATTTTATTTTAGAGATATTGAAAAAGGGGGTTTTCGTATGTCACGCTGTATGTCAGAAACTATTTATGCTTATTGCATAAAAATTCACACACAAGACGACGGGCGTATCATGCGCTCATGGCGCAGCTGTTTATTTATTTATGAAAAAGTTGTTTTATTTCTTTTCTAAACATGTTAATTGACTATTTTTGTTTTCCTGATTGAATACTATAGCATTGCCCAGTGCTTCTGTTTAAATAAAGTTCTGGTCATGGTTAAAATAATATGTCAGCATTTGTTTAGTTGTAAAAACAATTACCAAGCGATAATCCCTTTAGAACTTCACCTCCGGCAAATTTCAGGTGATCGGAGGGTAATAATTTACGTAATCACACACTGTGAATCCACAATCACAACTCTAAGGAATTAGTTACCAGAGAATCAGACTTAGACATAATTTCACTGTGTAATTAAAGAGCAAATTTAGCAAAGAAATGAAGTGCAGAAATGTTTCTTGCATTATCAATTTTATGATCATTACCAGATTTTAATCTTAAAATAATTAGAAATACCGAAAAGCAGAAAATATTTTTCTCAATAAATACATAAAAATAAATACAACAATTTTCAAGTAGCTTTTTAGAAAAGAAATTATTTAATCTGAGGTAAGTTTTCCCATTGTTTTTTTTATAGATGTCGGGGGTTATTCGTCCCCGATTCGTAGCGTAATTCATCGGAGAGATTCTCATTCTGGGCAGACGGATTTAACGTGATTTCACGGAGTTGTCAATCTGTGTATATATGTCTCTGATGCCAGCATGTTATATGGTGTGACACAGTTTCAGATTCATCGCTCTTCAACTTCTTGTTTACTAAATACTTGTATATTATACTTATATTTATTACTAACACATGCAGGCAATGTACTGGTATGAAATTTTCGTCTCATTTTCAAATAAGATTCTTCCTGAAATTTGTTATCTGGGTTAATGTGAACATGGTTGACCATGTACTGTGTATTAATGTTTCACATATATATATAAGTTAGTTTTAAACAACCTGTCAAGCTCTAAATATCATCCAGAGTCTATAAAAATTGTAAAACTTAAAAAGAGAGACGTTACTTAAGGAACTTTCAAACTCATATGTCGAAAAACAAACTGACAATGCCATGGCAAAAAAAAACAAACTGACAATGCCATGGCAAAAATCAAACTGACAATGCCATGGCAAAAAACAAACTGACAATGCCATGGCAAAAAAACCCAAAAATCTATCAAAAGACAAATAACATTATACAAAACACATTATAGAAATCTAATGACTGAGCAACACAAATCCCATCAAAAACCAGGGATGATCTTAGGTTAAATTCTATCAGAAACAATCAAAGATCTGCCTTAAACAGACAATTATCCAAGCAAGGAAAAACATTAAGGAATGCCAAATAACAACTTTTTATAAGGTTCCTAACAACGATAATTCAGAAACAGTGCTCAGGGAATCCTGTAACTATTTTTTCTTGTTTGAGTTGTTAAAGTATTATACTTCTTTTATATTATAGGTTCAAAAGCAGATGATAAAAAGTCTGGTCCTTCTCAACAGGTAAGTAGCAGTAAGTTAAAAAAAATAGCAATTCAATTAAATGACAAAATATATTTCAGCGATCACTTGAACAAAAGTACTAAGTACTGTGCAATGACAGTTAATTAGGGCATACACTTATGTGACATGTTATTTTTGAAGGGACATAGAAATACAGGACTTCTGTCAGTTCATCCATCTGTTAGTTTGTCCTTTTTTCAGGTCTTGTTAGTTTTCTCATGTCTACAATTCTTGCCACATTTTTATGATATTCATTATAGGTTTTTATCAGCAATGTGTCTTACATGGTTGAAAATCAGTTCCAATCAACTATTTTTTAAAGAGTATGCCCCATGCAAATATTAATTATATAGAAAATTACATTGTAGGCACTCTCACACCTAATTTTTTTTAAAGGATTGTTTTGAAATTTATATTGAAGGTTTATATCAGCAATGTCTTGGGTGAGTTCTAAAATGAGCGCTTATCAATTTTTTTTGCAGGAGTAATGTCCCTTAGAAATATAAATTCTATAGAAAATTGCATTGTAAGCGCTGAGTCTCAAGAGCACAATTCTTGTCAGATATATTCATGAAATTTATATCAAAGGTTTATATCAGAAATGTCACAGACAAGATCCAAAATCAATGATGATCAACTATTTTTTAAAGAGTTATGTCCTTTGGAAATAATAACTATATAGAAAATTACAGTATAAGCACTTTCACACCTACATTTCTTGAAGGATTGAAATTTATATCAAAGGTTTATATTAGTAATGTCTTGAGTTTGACAATCAAGGCTACTCTATTATTTTTACAAGAGTTTGAAATGTAACTTATATTATACATTGCATTGTTAGCACTCTCACATATCTTGTCGAATTTTTATGAAGTTTATATCAAAGGATTGTATGATGAATTTGTATCTGTTAGGTCTTGGAAAGTGCCAACATACTATTTTACAGAGTTATTCCTCTTGGAAATAGAAATAGTAAGTGAATTCCTTCCTACATTTTTTTTTAGATATTTATCAAAAAGTTAAAAGATTTATTTTTATGAGTTATTGCCCTTGGAAAAATATAATATGTGCAACACAGGGAACATTGGAACTCTGTTCTTTTATCATTATTCAAAAAATCTCTTTCAAAACCAATTAACTCACCACTTTATAGGGAACATAGAAGTACTGTCTGTCTGTCAGTCCTTCCGTCTGTGTGTGAGTCAGTCTGTCAGATTTTATAAGTGCTCTCGCATGTACAATTCTTGCCAGATTTTGAAGAAAGGAGTAGCTTAGATAAGGCCCTAATTCCAGCAAAAATTTCAAATTAGGATTTATTGACCAATATCACAATGAATCATAGCTAAAACAATCACTAGGTAGAAAATATACCTTTTATTGAAAATTTAGGTATATGTGTTCTTTTCATTATGTTACTAATAGCATACATTTTGAAAATTTAAGAAAACAGGTAAATTTCTTTTAACATTATGTTTATTATAACAATTTACATATCTGTTTTAAATAATAGTTTGTTGAAGACTGCACTCCTTGTTTCACAGGCCTAAATATGGTGGAAATCCAGGCGATTTTGTCAATTTTGTCAAATTTGATCAAAATCTCTACTTTTTGCCTATTTTAGTGGTAAATGTTAAAAAAGTAGTTTCTTTTCGCCTTCTTTCTTTTTTTTTGTCCCCAGTGTAACGCGTTGCGGGGAACATGGAAATACTGGGTGTCCGTCCATCAGTCCGTCCGGTCTTGTTAGCGCTTTCACGTGTACAATTCTTGCCAGATTTTTATGAAACTTATATCATAGGTTTATATCAGCATTGTCTTGGAGGAGTTCAAAAATTAGTGCCGATCAATTGGAAACATTAATTTTATGGAAAATTGCTTCGTTAGCGCTCTCATGTGTACAATTCTTGCCAGAATTTTATTTAACTTATATCATAGGTTTATATTAGCAATGTCTTGGACGAGTTTTAAAATCAGTGCCGATCAATTATTTTTAAAAGAGTTATGCCCCTTGCAAACATTAATTATATTAAAAATTGCATCGTTAGCACTCTCATTTGTACAATTCTTGCTAGATTTTTATGAAACTTATATCATAGGTTTATATTAGCAATGTCTTGGACGAGTTCAAAAATTAGTGCCGATCAATTATTTTTAAAAGAGTTATGCCCCTTGGAAACATAAATTTTATGGAAAATTTCATCATTAGCACTCTATGTGTACAATTCTTGCCCGATTTTTATGAAACTTATATCATAGGTTTATATCAGCAATGTCTTGGACGAGTTCGAAAATCAGTGCCGATCAATTATTTTTAAAAGAGTTATGCCCCTTGGAATTATAAATTATATGGAGAATTGCATTCTTAGCGCTCTCAGATGTACAATTCTTGCCAGAATTTTTGAAACTTAAATCATAGGTTTATATTAGCAATGTCTTGGACAAATTTGAAAATCAGTGCCCATCAATAATTTTTAAAAGAGTTATGACCTTGGAAATATTAATTATATGGAAAATAACCTTATGAGCGCTCTAATGTGTACAATTCTTGCCAAATTTTTATGAAATTTATATTTTAAGTTTATATCATCAATGTTCATGAAGCATTCAAAAATCAGTGCCCGTTAATTATTTTTAAAAGAGTAATGCCCCTTGAAAATGTTGATTATATGGAAAATTGCAATGTTATTGCTCTCATGTGTTCAATTCGTGTCAGAATTTTATGAAACTTATATCAAAGGTATAAATTATATCAGCAATGTCTTTGACACTTTCGAAAATAAATTCTGATCAAAAACCAAATTGCATTTGCTCTGAAGCCTTCATTTCTCTATGATGTTAATAAAAAGTCTTATAGAACAAAAAAAGTGCTTTTTTTAGTTATTGCCCTTGTACCATGCATAGATAAAATATGTGCCACGCGGGGGACATTGGACCTCTGTTCTATTATTATCTTTAAACTATGGACTTAATATTCAGGGCCCTAAACTACCTAATTACTCCTTTTATATAATTTATATCATAAGGATTATATCAGAAATGCCTCTGACAGATTTGCAAATCAGTGCTGATTAACTATTTTAAAAAGAGTTAAGGCAGATTTATTGCCATTTAATAAAATGGCATTTTTATATCTCAAAAATTCAATAGATAAGCATAAATTGTAAACAGTAAAAATTATCTTCAATACAAGACCTACAAAAATGCCAACTTAGAAATAGAGTTCTCAAGATCAAGAAATCTGAAGAAAAATCGGGAAAAAAATAATAATAAATTTTACTAATAAATTGACCTAGTTTTTGGCAGTCAATATTTCACTTTTATACTGACAGTCGCAATAGCAGGTGTGACCCAGGGTTCCACAGAATCCTACTGAGTTTTTTCAACTATGACACCATGTTAAGACTATTGAATACAGGAACAGCACCAAATACAAAAACTTGAAATACACTTATTAATTTATAATGTTATAATGTTTCTGTTGTACAACTCTATTATCTGAACTTATAATTTTATTCCTAATTTACATAGCAAATGGGAACATTTCCTCTACAGCGCAGCAATCTTATAACTGTGTTAAAGTAATAACCTTTAAGAATAATAATAATGAAAAGGTCGTTAAGCTAACTTGGATCAATCTTAATTTATGTGCTGTAAAAACAATAACACCTTAAGAAACTGATGAAATGGTTAATTTCAAACACTGGTTATGTTGACAGTGTTACCAAACTTTTGTCACGAGATCAGTCTATGCCATAAAGTGGATTAATTAATCTTGAACTGAAACCAGTACAGAGAATACAAGCATGATACCTAAAAATTAACAGAAAAAACAATTCCATCAGGTCACTCAACACTTCTCCCCTTTATATAGGTGGTGTGTGAACTTGCTCTCTTATGGTTCTTTAATTATGATATGAAATTCAAAATGGCTGTTTTTGCTGCAATAGTTTAAACTTAGGACCTTATATTGGCAGTGACATGTAAAACATCTTCTACTTACAGACCAGTACATAGAGTGTCATATAATATAAATAACAATTTAAAATATGTGATTTTTCTGTCAATCAGTATTGTTAGAAGGTTACTATCTTAAAGCATTACTTGTTGTAAAATTCAAATCTAGTATCTATATGTTTAAGGGACCAGAGAAGTGTTATATATGTGTGTCTGGTATTGGCAAGGATACAACTACTGAATCAGTCTTCAATTATCTGGAAATAAGAGCCAAACTTGAGATAATTACTGCAGAATCCATGAGGGACAAGGAAGATCATGCTGTTGTTGTATTTGAGGATAAGATAGGTAAGTTATTATTTTTAGCTCACCTGGCCCAAAAAGTCCAAAAGAGCTTTTCTCATCACCTGATGTTGGGCATTATCCACAAACTGGTAAATGGCGTCATAAAAACAACTTCTCCCACATATGTAATGAACTCTGAAAACACTGATTGTGTAATGGTGGCAACCATGGTTGTATGGGTGGTTTTATAAATATTGTCATAACTTTGCTTCTGTTGTAGTTGATTATGGTCTGTTAAAGTCAAGTTATAGTAAATGGGCTATGTCACAGTTTTTGGTAAAATTTTGCATACAGCACTGTCTTGTTGAACTTTAACTGAAAATTGAAAAAAATAATGCATTTATCTCTTTTATTATCCGAAATATTACTGATTTAATTCTTTCAAAATAGGTGAATATGTGCATAGAAAGCACATAAAATCTGCAAAAAACCTTCTTAATGTTGTCTTAAAATCATCAAATCTCTAATTTCTAATACATAGATTTTTCTTAAAAACTATATGTTGTTGATACATATATTTCTGTTTTAATGATGTAAAATAATGATAGGGTCACCAATTTCGTTTTTACGGTATACATCATGCATAGTGGTTTTATATGTGAAAAAATACCACAAAATGTCAAAATAATCTTAACGTCATCACTTTGCAGGCTGTAAAACATTTATTTTTTACATTTTTCACTACCAACTAGGTAACAGATTGATTATTAGACAAAAAAACTAAGTTGGTAACCATATGATTATTTTATATCATTAAAACAGAATTTATTTTTAATGTATACAGTTTTACTCTTTTATTTCATCTATCAGATAAACTGTAATGTAACATATAATTCATATATATTTAGATATAGAAAAGCTTAGAGAATCATGTAGAACTAAAAAAATGACAAGTATTAATTTGGAATTTGGAGAAGTTGATCCACCAAAGTTAGTTATAGCCAGTTCCCATGATGACAAATTAACAGAAGATACTTTCAGGAATTATTTAGAATCCAAAAGGAAACTTTCTGTTCAGAGAGTTTATACCACTGAAGAAGGATTTATTTCAGCAAAGTTTAAGGATAATTCAGGTAGGTGTCTGAAAAGCTTGTTAATTAAAGCATTTAAAAAAATCATTATTGATATAAATACAATAAATTAAGAAACATCATTTGACTTGTGATCCAACAAAGATATTGACTATCCCTTTATGTAAAGTTATCGTTATACATGTAGAACTATTGCAAGTGTCATATCCAAACCTAGATGCTGTGAAAATAGTGCAGTTTCAAAATTCATAAAATGTGAAGTAAATAAGAAGTCAATTTGGCCCTCCAAATAAACAGAGATGATTTATTTCAGTGTTTTAGCTCAACTGGCCCAAAAGGGCCAAGTGAGCTTTTCTCATCACTTGGCATCCGTCGTCTGCCGTCGTCGTCCATTAACTTTTACAAAAATCTTCTTCTCTGAAACTACTGGGCCAAATAAAACCAAACTTGGCCTAAAAAGTTAAATCACAAAAATACTGAACTCCGAGGAAAATTCAAAACGGAAAGTCCCTAATCAAATGGCAAAATCAAAAGCACAAACACATCAAATGAATGGACAACAACTGTCATATTCCTGACTTGGTACAGGCATTTTCTTATGTAGAAAATGGTGGATTGAACCTGGTTTTATAGCGCTAAACCTCTCACTTTTATGACAGTTGTATCAAATTCCATTATATTGACAATGATGTGTGAATAAAACAAACAGATATAATAGGTAAAAATGTCAAAATAGGGGTACAGCAGTCAACACCGTGTCACAATCTTAATCACAACAAAAACAAACAAATATTTAACAAAGAAGCACAAAAAAGCATATATCACATTTAACAACCTCGTTCATTGCTTACTTATTTTTGTATTTTATTTATAAAATTGAGAATGGAAATGGGGAATGTGTCAAAGAGACAACAACCCGACCATAGAACAGACAACAGCAGAAGGTCACTAACAGGTATTCAATGCAGCCAAATGTATGCCAAATCAACCCATAAAGGATCTAGGGATTTTAAGCAATGGGACCGAATCGTAATTTTAACATTAACTCTGGCGTAGAATCGCGTGTTTGACGTCAGAATGTAAACGTCACACAGGTAGAGATATAAAATAATTTTGTCGTTCAAAGAATGCAAAAATTATAATAGAACAATAACACAATGGTGGGATGTTTAAAGTACAGAGACACGTCATATGTATCAAAGAAACATAAAAAGTACACGGACAAAGCACACAAGTAAAAATGAAAAATAATACAAACAACACAATGACGGGATGCATAAGTATAGAGCCACCTCAAATGTATATCACCAAAAACAGACCAAACAGTAAAAGCAATATGAAAAAAGACAAATAAAAGAACACTTTAACATGTTATTAAGATGATAAACAGCGTCAGTACGCAGAATCTATACTTCAAGACCATCATGTATTATTTGTGAAGTTGATACAGAATATTTATCAACAAGGTCTTGGTACCTTCCGATGAACTTTTTTTAGAAAAAGGATGAGACGTTCTTTAACATACCCCTGGTTCAACAACTTTCTGCTCAGACACTGGTGACGTGTCAATCTTAGGGTATCTAGTTTAAAAATGTATCCGATGACCCTGCCCATCAACCAAGATGGCCGCCATGGCTAAAAATAGAACATGGGGGTAAAATGCAGTTTTTGGCTTATATCTCTGAAACTAAAGCATTTAGAGCAAATCTGACAGGGTAAAAATGTTCATCAGGTCAAGATCTATCTGCCCTGACTGCCCTGAAATTTTCAGACGCATCAGACAACCCGTTGTTGGGTTGCTGCCCCTGAATTGGTAATTTTAAGGAAATTTTGCAGTTTTTGGTTATCTTGAATATTATAATAGATAGAGATAAACTGTAAACAGCAAAATTGTTCAGCAAAGTAAGATCTACAAATAAGTCAACATGACCAACATTGTCAATTGACCCCATAAGAAGTAATTGCCCTTTAAAGTCAATTTTTCACATTCTTTTGTAAATTTTTGTAATCTTTTACAAAAATCTTCTCCTCTGAAGCTACTGGGCCAAATTAAACCAAACTTGGCCTAAATCATCCTTAGGGTATCTAGTTTTAAAAATATAACCGATGACCCCGCCCATCATGCAAGATGGCCGCCATAGCTAAAAATAGAACATGGGGGTAAAATGCAGTTTGGCTTATATCTCTGAAACTAAAGAATTTAGAGCAAATCTGACATGGGGGTAAAAATGTTCATCAGGTCAAGATCTATCTTCCCTGAAATTTTCAGACGCATTAGACCACCTGTTGTTGGGTTGCTGCCCCTGAATTGGTAATTTTAAGGAAATTTTGCAGTTTTTATACGACCGCAAAAAAATTTTTGTGGTCGTATATTGGTATGACGTTGGCGTCGTCGTCGTCGTCGTCGTCCGGCGTCGTCGTCCGAATACACATTAGTTTTTCGCACTCTAACTTTAGTTTAAGTGAATGGATCTCATTGAAATTTTACCATAAGGTTCAATACCACAAAAGGAAGGTGGGGATTGATTTTGGGGGTTATGGTACTAACAGTTAAGGAATTAGGGGCCAAAAGGGGCCAAAAATAAGCATTTTTGTAACTTCCAGACATAACTTGTGTGTAAGTGTATGGATCTCTCTGACATTGTACCACAAGGTTCCATATCACAAAGGGAATGCTGGGATTGATTTTGGGGGTAATTGTCTCCAAATTTTAGGAATTAGGGGCCAAAAGGGGCAAAAAACAAGCATTTTTCTAGTTTCATGACAATAACTTGTTTGTAAGTGTATGGATCTTTATGAAATTGTACTACAAGGTTCCATATCACAAAGGGAATACTGGGATTGATTTTTGGGGTAATTTCCTCCAAATATTAGGAATTAGGGGCCAAAAAGGGGCAAAAAACAAGCATTTTTCTAGTTTCATGACAATAACTTGTTTGTAAGTGTATGGATCTTTATGAAATTGTACTACAAGTTTCCATATCACAAAGGGAAGGCTGGGATTGATTTTGGGGGTTTTCCCTCAAAATTTTAGTAATTAGGGGCCATAAAAGGGCAAAAAAAACATGCATTTTTCTAGTTTCAGGACAATAACTTGTGTGTAAGTGTATGGATCTTTATGAAATTGTACTTCAAGGTTCCATATCACAAAGGGAAAGCTGGAATTGAGTTTGGGGGTAATTGCCCTAAACGTTTAGGAATTTGGGGCCAAAAAGGGGCCAAAAAACAAGCATTTTTCTAGTTTCCAGACAATAACTTGTGTTCAAGTGTATGAATCTCTCTGAAATTGTACTGCAAGGTACCATACCACAAAGGGAAAGCTGGGATTGAGTTTGGGGGAGATGAATCATAAGGGGGTTCAAAAAATTGGGGGGGGGGGATTTTTTTTTTCCTTTTTTTTCTTTAACATTTTCCATTTTAAATTGGTTATTTCTGATTTATATATAAAAGCAAATAATAATGATATGGTTTGAATAGGCATACATGTGAACCTCCCGACGGGAGTACAATAATCCCGTTTTCAGGGGTCTCCTCCCCCCTCCCGTTGAAAAAATCCCGTGTATGAAATTTTTCATGAATGAAAAATTTCTGCCCAACATAACATCTCAGGCATCTGGTGTAACTGACATTACCTGAAGTTATATTTTACCTGTAAATCAATTAACATGCATAATTATATGGCTTCACTTGTCAGCTTGGGTGTCAAACATACTGGTAAGCAACGATTTTTACCTCAGGCTAACTGCCGTTGTGTAACAAAAACTGTGTATTTATTGGGTTACTTCCCTTGATTTATCCTGTTTTAAGTTACTTTCCTTTTAATAATGAAAATTTTTAAAAGAATATAAATAAAATATAAATTGAACAAATAATCATAAAAGGATGGTTATTAAATGATTTTAAATGTCTTAGGACAAATAAAAAAATAATAATTTGAAAATTATTTGAGGATTCTATACTTCCTTTTAAGGCTTAAATTGAAATTTATATATTATCACTATGACCCTAACTATTATATAGATAGAATGAATTTCTGAGTTTGCAAATAAAAACTATTTGCAAGAGAAAAAAAAAAAAAAAAAAAACTATTTGCAGACAGCTAAACAAATGTTCTGGTTGCAATGATTGTTTTATAGAATATGAAGTAAAAAATTTAAAGAACATACTGGAAAAAAACAATGTTAGATTGAACATGTAGAATATAAAGATGGAGAAACTTTATAAGTACAAGGGTACTATAAACATAATAAATTGGTTGGAAAGTTGAAGAAAACACACTTTAAAAGACCATTTTTACAGCACACGGTTACATTTACAACAAAATTAATGTCGATTAAAAACCTCCTGATCTGAGTCCTAATCTCCTGACCAAAATTTCCCAATCTCCTGATCTGAGTTTCACAGTCCATCACATGTATGAATAGGTAAATTGAAAATTTTTAAGTTCTTAGACCACTTTCATTCTGTGTCAGAAACCTATGCTGTGTCAAATATTTAATTACAATCCAAATTCAGTGCTGTATCAAGCTTGAATGTTGTGTCCATACTTGCCCCAACTGTTCAGGGTTCGACCTCTGTGGTCGTATCAAGCTGCGCCCCAGCGGAGCATTTTATTGGTTATTATCTTGAATATTATAATAGATAAAGATAAACTGTAAACAGCAATAATGTTCAGCAAAGTAAACTCTACAAATAAGTCAACATGATTAAAATTGCTAATTGACCCCTTCAGGAGTTATTGTCCTTTAAAGTCAATTTTTCACAATTTTTCGTAAATTTTTTAGTAATCTTTTACAAAAATCTTCTCCACTTAATCTACTGGGCCAAATAGAATTAAACTAAGCCACAATTTTCAATAGGGTATCTTGATTGAAAAAATGTATCCGATGACCCTGTCATCCAACCAACATGGCCGCCATGGCTAAAAATAGAACATAGGGGTTTACTATAGAAGTCTATGGGAAAATTGTAAAAAAACAATTTCAAATGGTCACAACTTGAAAACTGATTTAAATAATGATAAGGGGTCTTCAGTAACTATTGTAAGACTACAATGGGTTGACCTGCTTTAAATTTAACTACTGGGCCGAATTAAACCAAACTTGGCCTCAATCATTATTAATAGGGTATCTAATACTATTTATTATGATTTTAACCTTATTTTACATGATTTCCAAAACCACAGTAGACACAGGTGAGCGACACAGGCTCTTGAGAGCCTCTAGTTTGATTGAAATTTTTGCAGAGTTGACAAGTTAAAGTTTGTGTCTAGGTTAGTCTAAAGGGAACCACTTATGATAAGTAAATAGTATTTGGTAAAACTATTTAGTTTTGTAAGCATACCCATTTCTCATTTCTATGGAGGTGTTAAATTTGGCCCTCCACCTTCAATCATAATTCATTGACTTTAAATGTTTTGCATAGTTAACATGTTTGAATATTACAATTTTGAATTCAACATTTACATTATGCTATCAAAATTATGAAAAGGGGAGACATATCTCTGTGTGTACAGTTTATCTATAATTTTAATTTAATAAGTCACAAACTATACTATACAAATTTTATTAAGAAAGTGCAGATGCAAATTTTTTTGCATTTATGGTCTAAAAGGAATGCACTACAAAATAACTGTGTTCTTGGGTCAGCTGGAAGTGTAGCGGAGTTTGATTTTGCATTTATTGAATTATAGGGTAAACTTTGAACAAATCTGACAGAAGGAGGCCATTATTACTTAAAACTTTTGTAAACAGACTATTTGATGTTTAAAATCTAACATTATTTTTTTCAGAAGTTGAAAAAATTCTTAAGGATACCAATATTAAAATCAGTGGGTGTGAAGTTATTGTTTCACCAATGTATTATTGTGACCATGGGATGTGTTGGGATCACAATTTGCATAGAGTTTCCATTCCTGCTCCTTTCAAACTATCTGTTCCAGATAGTCATATCAAATCTTTCATCATAGAAATTACATCAGTATGTGATGCAAAACTTAAAGCACATCATGGTCGATTGATGCAAAAGGATGAAATGCATATTGAATGTACACTTGACCCTAAAAACAAAGATACTAGACAGAAAGTTAAAACATGGGAAAAGGATATAAGAAAAGCATGGGAAGAATTTGTTAAATGTTGTGCTCACAAAAAGGAAATACAGATTAATGATGCAATAAAAGATTCACTACTTGAATATATCAACAAAACTAAAATTAGTCATACATCTGAAGAATTGACAGTTTTGTTTAGTGATGATTCTCAACGGAAATTTGTTTTTGTCGGTGAATCCAAAATTGTTGAAAACTTCCATAACCAAATCTCAGCAAAGAAGATAGAAATTCAAGAGAAATTAGATAGAAAGAATAAAATCACATCAAAAACAATGAAGAATATAAGTCCATTACACCTTGCTTTATTGAAAGAGGTTCATGTGCTTGATGATCTGCAGTCCTTGGCAGATGATTTAAATATTGAAGCAGACGACACTACTGGACAGGTTACATTGATAGGTGTTCCTGATGATATAAGGTCTGCAGAAATAAAAATTTATGAGGCAAAAAATGATTATGAACTTTGGCAAATAGATGATCTTTCCATGAATAAATGTAAACTGCTGGAGAAGGACGTTATACTTCAGACAATTGTGGAGAACATTAGGGATAACCATCTCCATGTCGTTATAGAAGTTAAACCACCAGTAGTTAAAGTTTGCACAAATTGCCAAAACAAGAAAAAACTGGTAGAAAAGATAATCAAGGATGAAATAGAAGAAGAAAAAATTGTATTAGATTCAACAAATCAGATTGTACTCACAATTGATGAGTGGACTGACAAAAAGGAAGAAATACAAAATGATTTCAGTGGCACTTGTATTATAGATGACAGTCAGGGTGACAGCATTGTTGTCACTGCTAGGAGTCTGCTTCTTGATGGTATAATGGTGGAATTAAATGATTTCATTGTCAGCCATTCCATATACACTGATACTGTTGTAATTCAAGATGATGGAGTCATGAAATATCTTGAAAAGCACTGCAACAGTTGGAAATCAATTCTAGAATTTGATCAGAGTAAACATTCACTGAAGATGGAATTTAGAAGAAATATGGTATATCTATCTGGTACCAAAATTGGGATTACCATGGCAAAAGAGGGAATAAATGATAAAATCCGAAGAATTGGTCAACCAGACATGCACAGTATTTCGAAACCAGGTATTGATTCATTATTTGATAATAAGCACAAGACTTCGAATATACTTGAGCAAATAGAAGATGACACAGAAACTATTATATTGGTGGATGAAAACCTCAAGTGTGGGGCAAAACCAAAACAAGTCTATCAACATGAACAGTCAGAGGAAGATTTTGTAATGGATTATGCAGCTCAAAATTTCCACAGACAAAGTGAGTACAATTCATTAATTTGGCAGTTACTGTAATTCAGAATTTTGTGGAGTATGCATCAATTATCATTTTTTAATGTTTAGTTAAAAATTTATATCTTCTGATAAAATGGCTAAACAAATAAAATGATATAAAATTTCATAAATCATTTTTATGGAGTAAACCCTTATGAGTTAAATAATTTTGACTTTATTATTTATTACCTGTTAACAAATCCCATATCATTTCTATTTGATTATTCTATACATTGAATATTTATCAAATGGTAAAAACACATTTTCATTATAATCCATAAACAGAAATGTATAAATAATTTTTTCTTTCTGAAACTCCTCTTAATTAAAGACACAAATAAATATGATTCTATTCCCACTACAAGAAAGATGTGTTTATCAAATGACTTATAAAATAAATCTTTTTATAGTCCATATACTATTGTTCAGAAATAGTCTGTTTAGTTATAGTAGATGATCTGAGGTTGATAAAATTCTGGCAGCGGACGAAGTGGTGCAACAAATTGAAAATAAAAGGAAAGTAAAAATTGTAGAATGTGAAAATTTATGTTTAATATATATGGCATATTTCAAGTAAGCAAAAACCAAAAAAAAACTGTCTATTCCTTGGAAATGATGGAGCAGATCAATCAAGGACCATAGGGCCTACTTTTATGGTCTTACATATTGTTGAAAAGCATCAAAATGAGTTTGCAGGTAGCTAATATCTTCAATGGTAGTTTCCAATCTATGTCTCTATTTTATTAGATACTGGAAGAAAAATGCATGGGAAACAGTTTCCACAGAAAGGACATAAAGTCCCTAAGACAGGACCATATGTTTGCAAAAACAAAACTAAAATCACATTGGTGCTAAAACAGGGTCTTAGTAAACAACAAGTAAGTAATTACACACATATATATATATATATAAAACAACATATAATCCACGAGATTATGATTAATATATAACAACATATAATCCACGAGATTATGATTAATATATAACAACATATAATCCACGAGATTATGATTAATATATAACAACATATAATCCACGAGATTATGACATATTTAGTTTCATGCAACAAATTGAAAATAATTTACACAAAAGTGAAAAAATGAACAAAGTCTTACAAAAAAAGAAGATTATCAACAGTAAAAGACAGTCAAAAAGTCTAAAATGATATATCTAACATCTTCAAAATTTGACTTTAATGAAACTTTGCCTATTGTTAGAAAATGAACTGATAAACGATGTATGACATGTCCAGATTTGATAGAAGAAAGTTCAATTTATTTTAAAAATGGAAAGCATTTCACAGTTAAACAAAACATGTCTTGTAAAAGTTCAAACGTCATTTATTCTCTCATATGTTCTAATTGTGAGGAATTCTATATTGGAGAGACAAAAAAAAAACTGCGGACTAGAATGACTGTTCATAGGCAGCAAACCAACCATGAAGATTTAACAATCATTCTAGCTAACGACCATTTCCATCATTGTTCTAATGGACGATTTAAAATATTTCCATTGTATATGGTCAATCGTCAAAATGATTTTCTCCGGAAGAAAAAAGAAGAATTTTTCATAAACATTCTCATCCCGGGATTAAATGATAAATGATATTTTAATTTTTCCTTAAATAACATTTTAAAGACTTTACTCAAATTTTAAAATGACATTAGTAGCTTAGTCTCCCTTGTATTTGTTAACGTCATACTATTGTTAACGTCAATCAATTGTTTTATAACACTTACATTGACTTATGTATACAAGTCACATTACCTGAAGATCTGTGAAAGCGTTAGTAAATGTGATGAATTGAAACCGTTATTATCTTTTATTAATTTTCTTATATATATATATATATATATATATATATAAAAGTCTTAAGAAATCTGCAATAATACTCATAAACAATAGTTATATTTGAACAAGATGTTTTAAAATCGTATAGACAAATATTTCTGCTCAACAAATGTCTCAATTATACAGGTAAGTTTTAAACTCTTGATTTAATCAGAAATCCTGCACTTTAAAAAAACAAAACAGAACTCAATACTATGCTGACATGACTGCAGACTTATACATCCGTAAATGTCAAAATGTAGTTGTGTAAACAGATATAAAATGATACATTAACTCCTTACCTATATTAACCAAAACTGCTTGCACTGCGTGTTTAGGAATCACCTTGTCAGTCCATCCATCTGCCTGTCTGTCCCACTTCATGTACGGTAACTTTTGTACAGTAAAACTTAGGTTAATCAAACTTGGTATGGAGTTGCATCATGGGCTGGGGTGTGTCATATATACCAGAAGTCGGGGCACTCTGACCTTGACTTTTACCTTTGATCCCTATGATAGTAAAACCTTGACTGATTTCTTTCCTGCACATAACTTTTGTACTGTAGGTTTACCAAACTTTGTATGCTGATGCATCATGGGATGGGTGTCATGTATCAAAGTCAGGTCACTCTGACCTTGACTTTGACCCTTGACCTCTATGATAGTAAAACATTGTCTGATTTGTGTTTGGCACATAACTTTTGTACTTGAGCACTGAGATTGACCAAACTTTGTATGCAGAAACATCATACTGACCTTGACTTTGACCCCTATGATGGGAAAACATTGTCTGATTTGTGTACGGTGCATAATTTTTGTACCGTAGCACTTAGATTGACAAAACTTTGTATGCAAAAGCATCACGGGATTTATCAAATACCAGAATCAGGTCACTCTGACTTCGACCTTGACCCTTGACCCAAACTTGCTTGACTCTATGATAGTTAATGGCATCTCGTGCATAACTGTTTTCTGGAGAACTTGGGTTTCCGAACTAAGTCAAACTAAGTGTGTAGATACATTATGGGCAGGTGATTTGTCGGTAACATTAGGTCATTGTGGCTTTGACCTTTAACCCCAATAAAGTTGATTGACCTTTACATAGATATGGCTGAAGGCCAAAATTCTCAAAATGTCATTGTCTCAATATTGAATTCCACAGCAGCAACTTTAATGGGTGTAAAGGAGGGAGGGGGGGGGGTATAGTCTGGCATTGAGGACAGCTCAAGATAATATTTGATTTGAACTGAGGAAAGTCAATTACAGGAGTATAAGAGAAGCAGTAGCTAAAATAATAGTTTATTTCCTTTTAACACCTTGTTTGAAGCACAAACGGAAATAAAAAGTCTATATTTCAGGCTGATGTAATTGTCTGTTCCACCAATGCCTCGTTAGACTTGACTGGTAAAGCAGGTAGTGATCTTGTCAAAGGAGCAGGGCAAGGTTTACTTCTAGAAATCAAGATTAAATACTCAGATGGTATTAAACATGGTGATATTGCTGTTCTTCAAGGTCATAGCCTGAACTGTCAAAAAGTCTTTCTTGCTGCTTTACCATCATGGAAAACTGGTGTTGAAAAGGTTTGTAACTTGAATTATATTTATGTAGGTCTTTGATCTGTCTTGATTTTTTCTTGTGTAATTTGAATGCTCCAGTTGGCTTAATGCACTTTCATTGAAAACTTGTACAGTGATAATTGATATAAAATCCCAGTAAAAATATGATATGAGGTAGCATGTATTTAACATGATATTTTCTAGCAAACTTTATTATTCTGAAAATAATTTTCTTCAAATCTTTTACTTAGCCATTCATATACATGTACATGTATACACCATAAGTAATATTAAAAATGTTTAGTATGACATATAATACTCCTGAGCACAGCACAAACAATTGCAAAATATAATGAGGCCTGTGAAGGGAAACTGGAGGAAACCATGAACTATGTCTCCAGAGGAAGGTTGCATCATGAATTTCAGTTTAACTTTCAATTTGATAGGAAAATGTATTTTTGCAAAATAGAAAAAAAATTTCAGTACATCATTTCTTTTAAGACTCTGCAGGACAGCTTAAATGCTTGTTTAAAGAATGCCTCTGGTTACAAGTCAATAGTTTTACCTGCCATGGGAACTGGTGCTTTCAGTTATCCTCGTGATAAAGTAGCAGAATTGATGTATACAACAGTCTGTGAATTTGATAAGACTGGGAGTAATTTAAAGGATGTTAGATTTTTGTGTTTTGATGATGACACAATTCAGGTAAATGACATGTCTTAAAATATGTTATTCATTACCCGTATTTTGAATACATGCTTATGCCAAATACAGGGTTTGACCAAGATTTTCCAGTTACTGAACAGGTGTCCTTTGGACACAATATCCCAAACATGTGCAGCTAAAGTTTTTATTTACATGTTCTAGTATAAATTTCCCAAATTTCTAATCTTCTCAATGAAACTAGAAGGCCAAATCTTCTCAAACTCAATCAAAATCATCTTTTCGTAGACTGTTAGAATACATAGATACTATTCAGATACTTGTGGACAAAGGTATCCCCTAGGCTACCAATGAACCCTATTTAACCAGGTTTTATGACATTTGTATGCCGCCTAAATTGGTTTCCGTTTTCTAAGTTTAGTTTGCCTCAACCAAATGTTATGAAACTTACACACAATGGTTATTACCACCAAACCAAGATCAAGTTCAAATTTGGGTGGTGTGACTTTCACTGTTTCATTTTATTCATAATGATAATAATAACAACAATAAAAATACCAATTTGAATATAAGGACATGGTTGCCAGCTGATAATAGGAGAGCTGACACCCTTTTCCTTAAAGATGACACACAAAAAAAAAGAACTTCCACAACAAACTGCAATCTCTAATAAAATAAGGTTATGTGTAATAGGAAGTTGTTTTATTCTTATATTTAATTGGTATTGCTTGTAGTTTATAAACTTTTCCCGTTCTAACTGACCATTCAAGTAGACTACTACCATAGACATGTAAAAAAGTCTAAAATGACTTTATTCTACATACATAACATATATTGCTTATAGTTTGGGTCTGAGATTGTTTAACTTCAAACAATATTATACCTTTATAATAGTGACTGATAAATGCTGGTATATTTTAGTATTATATATTTCATATTTTCAGGCATTCAAAGATGAGGAAGCCCATAGACTAGATCCAAAGGGACATCATGGACTAGGTAGCTAGGTTACACATTATATATATATTTATAGAAAGAAAATCGGACAATTGTTTGTTTGGATTGTATTTGTGTTGTTTCATGAACAATGCTTTCCTTTTTAACAAAGAGATGGGTGTGATATTTTGTACATAGATGAGTGTCATAATGGGGATACCTTCATGACAAATAACAGTAAAAAATCTTGCCAAATGATGTTAGCGGTAATTTTTGGTGCATGACGATAAAATGTACATTTTCTTTATGACAATAAAAAAGATCGACTGATTTTGACAAATCACTTTAAATTCTTTGCAAAAATAATGGTAACCGATAATTATTTGAAACCTCCTATACATTTTAACCAATTTGATGCTAACGGTAGATGAAAATGACCATTTGACGCCTGATGGTAAAGGACATTTCTATCCTCATAGATGAGGCGGTTATTTTCTTGTTTGAATTTTTATATTTGTCATTTCTGGGCCTTTTATAGTTTACTATGCGGCATGGGTTTTGCTGATTGTTAAAGGCCATAAGGTGACCTATAGTTGTTAACTACTATGTCATTTGGACTCTGGTAGAGAGTTGTCTCATTGGAAATCACACCACATCTTCTTATTTTTAGCTCATCTGGCCCAAAGGGCCAAGTGAGCTGCTTTTCTCATCACTTGGCGTCCATCATTAACTTTTACAAAAATCTTCTCCTCTGAAACTGCTGGGCCAAACTTAACCAAACTTGGCCACAATCATCATTTGGGTATCTTTTTAAAAAAAAAGGTCAGATGACCCAGCCTGCCATCCAAGATGGCCGACAAGGATAAAAATAGAACATAGGGGTAAATGCAAGTTTCATCTTATTTTGAAAACCGTTATAAATAGAGCAAATCTGACACGAGCAAAAATGATCAGAATGTTTAGCTCTACCAATTGTCCATATAAGTCAGAACTGTCCGACATCTTCTAATTGGAGTTATTGCCCTTAAATGACAAATTTTACCATTTTTTTTCATTTTCTATGATAGATATGACAAATTTTACCATTTTATTTCAATTTCTATGATAGATAGAGAGAAACTTTAAAATGCAAAAAAGATCAGTAAGACAAGTTCTACAAACAAGTCTAACATGGTCGAAATCGTCATTCGACTCCTTGTTAGAGTTATTGCCCTTTGATGATGATTTTTACCAATTTTTTGCGTTTTTGCCTTGTATCTTAAAAATTATAGTAGATAGATAGAAACGTAAATAAGCAAAAATGATCAGCAAGACAAGATCTACAATGAAGACAATTTGGAGGAAATTGTTTGACGACTCCTTATTGGAGTTATTGCTCTTTAATGACGATTTTTACCATTTTTTTTTTTTGAGTTTTGCCCTATTTGATAAAAATTATATTAGATAAGTAGACACTTTAAATCACAAAAATGATCAGCAAGGCAAGATCTACTAACAAGTCAAATTTGCCGATATAGTTAGTAGACTGTCACTCTTTATAGCAGTGATTGCCCTTAAATGAGGATTTTATTTAGAGAAACTAAATAGACAAGATGATCAGTAATACAAGATCAACAAAACAGATTTTTGTCATGAATTCTATTCTCGTCTACAATGTTGGAGAGTGTCCTTTGTTGAATATGCACATAAACCAATGTGAGCGACACCGGCTCTTTAGAGCCTCTAGTTATATTGATAGTTTAAAGGCACACAGTATAAAGACAAATTTAGAAGACCTAAAGGGATTACTGTTATTTGACCTTAATTCATCTAAAACATTTGTTTTTAAATCTTGTTTATGCCAGCTCAGGCTCTTAAATTTTGTTGTTTTTTCTATGAAACCCTTTAAATATAATTGTTTAAGGATGGTTGTGATATTAATAATTTATTTGATAATTCAATGTTTAGTTATCAATAGAAAATATATCATTTTGCTGTTAAATGTAGTCTATTCAATCACAGCATACTCACTGTACATGATTGCCTTGTTTTATATTATAGAAAAAGCAACTGGTCCTAACAAGAAAAATAATATAACAGTTACTGTTGTAAAGGGTGACCTTGGAAAAATGACAGTATGTATATTTATCATAGATAAAGAATTTGAAATATATAACCTCTAAAAGAATTTAAAATATATAACCTCTGAAAGAATTTAATATATATAACCTCTAAATGAATTTAAAATATATAACCTCTGAAATTTAAAATATATAACCTCTAAAAGAATTTAAAATATATAACATATACAAGTAAATAATGAGCTACAAAAATTAAAAGTATAAAAATAGCATTGATTGATGAAAATTATTAGAATTAATTTACACTTCTTGGTCCAATATAGAATCTTGAGAACTGCTGAGTGATTGCTTTAAAAAGTTAAGATTATATTACATCTTGTTAATGCTCTTTTATGAAACAACACTGTGCTTACATTATTATGAAAATTACTTGGTATATTTAAGTGAATTATAATAGATGCCAAGATTGGTTAAAACAAAGTTATTGAAGACCTGTTGATAGCTATACTCCAACTTTAAAGGAGAAAATACCACTTTATCTCTGCTGTCAATTTTTGTCTCGTCTGCGACTAAAGTTGCAGTATGCGAGACATAGGTATTACAATCCGGAGACAGTGGTGGCGATAACTATTTGTTTAAATCTTTAAATTTCAAAAGTGGAAGACCTTGATGCTGCATACCTTGTGTGCAAATACCTTATGTTATGATTCCGTCTGTCATATGTCCATTGTCCTTGACCTCATTTTCATGGTTTAGTGACTGCTTGAAAAAATATTAGTTTTTTTGTTAAGTAAAATACTCACTTATTATGAGTAATAGGATAAAGGTATGTGGTCAAGTCTATATCTCAGATACTATAAGCAATAGGTCAACTATATTTGGTGTATGGAATGATTGTAAGGTGTACATGTCTGTCTGGCATGGTTCATCTGACCTTGACCTCATTTTCATAGAACATTGATAATGTTAAGTTTATGTGATACTTGTAGTAAAACCTTCATGTTACAGACTTTTAATATGAATTCAATGATAAGTAAAACAGGCGAGACATTCATGTTCACTCATGTATTTTTATGTCTGTCACATTTTTGTCTCGCCTTGACGGAGTCAAAAAGCGAGACATAGGTATTCTGTTTCCGGCGGCTGCGTCAACAATGTATTAGTTTGTGATTAGGTCTAGTTCATTGTGAACCACTAGAGGTAGGTCAATGATATTTGGTATGCAGTTGTATTAGCATTGGCACATCTCATTACCATAGAGATTATTTGGCCCCGCCCCCTCAGTCAAGGTCTATTGACTTTGAAACTTTTCATAGTTTACATGTATTAGTTTGTGATTAGGTCAATTTATGGGAAACCACTAGTGGTAGGTCAATGATATTTGGTATGCAGTTGTATAAGCATTGGCATATCTCATCTCCATAGAGATTATTTGGCTCCGCTCCCTTAGTCATGGTCTATAGACTTTGAAAATTTTGCTACGTTAACATGTATTAGTTTGTGATTAGGTCAGTTCAAGGGGAACCATTAGTGGTAGGCCAATGTTAATTGCTGTTCAGTTGTATAAGCATTAGCACATCTCATTTCCTTGGAGAATATTTGGCCCCGCCCCCTCAGTCATGGTCTATTTACTTTGAAACTTTTGCTTAGTTTACATGTATTAGTTTGTGATTAGATCAGTTTAAGATGTACTGCTAATGTTAAGTCAATGATATTTGGTATGCAAATTTATTGGCATTTGCAAGTATCGTTTCCATGGAGATTATATAGCCCCACCCCTGATCATGGTTCATTGACTTTGAAACTTTTACATAGTTTACAAGTTAATGTTTGTGTTTAGGTTTGTTTAAAGGGAACGACTTATAATAAGTCAATGGTATTTGGTATGCAGTTGTATTAGCATTGGCACATCTCATTCCATGGAGATTGTTTAGCCATGTACCTTCAGTCATGGTTCATGACTTTGAATATTTGCATTACTTACATGTTAAAGTATTGCTATTTTAATTTCAACATTTGCATTATCAAAAAGGCGAGACATATCTCTGTGATAACAGTTTATTTGATTAGACACTAAAAATCATAAACGATTTCAAACTTTATCTTATTAACTAGTAACTGTTTTATGTCAGGTTTGATAATACATTTCATGTCAATATAATAAGCATTCAGACTGTTTGCATTCAATTCAACACTTATTTGTAATAAATTAGATTTTGTTGCATATTCCCTGAAGCAGTCACAAATTAAAGCATCTTGATTTTTGGTATAAAACGTATTTTCGGTACCAATACTTTATTTTATGACACAGTTAAAGGTAGCAGATTGTTGCAGAGTTTTGTTATAAGTTCCCAGTAAGTGATAAGTTGATTAAATGATTGTTTTTGCTTAACTTCCATGGTTATTTTTGCTTAATGTCCACGATTGATTTTGCTTTGTACTAATTTATTTGGCCTTTATAACTATTTTTGATTCTAGCATCATTGATTTGTTTTTTGTTGAAGGAAAGCTGGTCTTGCATCCAAAACTTAAGCCTGGTATCTATGATGAGTTTATTGGATACCCTGCATTGTACTCAGGGGTTCATAAATATTCAATTTAGCCCTTTTTCAGATATTGAGGAGATATTTAAATTATATTTGTGCAATGAATAATTACAAATAACATGAAATTTTTTTTTCTGCTTGACATTTTTTTTCAACTTGGAGTTTAGATTATAAGATTGATCTTGAGTTTTATGTTTTAGACTGATGTCTTAGTTGCTGCAGTACCAAAAGATTTAAATTTAGAATCTGCTGCTGGAGCAGGATTGTCTTTGATGAAACATGTCCCTAATCTTCAAGCAGAAATCAATAACAAATATTCAAATGGTATAAGAATGGGAGGATTTGCTGAAATTCCAGTATCTAGTGGTGGAACATGTAAAGCTGTATATTTAACTTCTATAGAACCATGGAATGTAGAAAAGTCCAAGAAAGATGAAGAAATGGTAAATTTACTTTCTGAATTTTGTCCAATTGAATCGGACTCTACAAAGGCTAATTGGAATCACATATTGATATTCTTCTCTGAAACTCTTTAGCTTATTTTAATTAAACTTTGTAGAAAATGGTAATGGAGTTCTTCTGCAAATGATCATCATTTGGTTTTGATTGGATGAATAAAATGTTCCCTTAGAAGCAATATTTGATTTTGATTGGCCAAATTTTGAAAATCTATTATAGATAAAAGAATGTTAAAATTGAAAAGTTAAACTAGGGAGCCACCAGAAATAACTATTTTGTCGACTGGTTTGTCTTACAAAAATCATTCTTATTACAGGTAAAATGATGATTTGCACATTTTTATACGACCGCAAAAAATTTTTGCGGTCATATATTGGTATGACGTTGGCATCGTCGTCGTTGTCCAAAGACACATTGGTTTTCGCACAATAACTTTAGTTTAAGTGAATGGATCTCTATGAAATTTTACCATAAGGTTCAATACCACAAAAGGAAGGTTGGGATTGATTTTGGGGGTTATGGTACCAACAGTTAAGGAATTAGGGGCCAAAAAAGGGCCCAAATAAGCATTTTTCTAGTTTCCAGACAATAACTTGGGGCACAAAAGCCAAAAAAAAGGGGGGTAATTTTATTATTTTTTTTGTGGGGGGAGGGGGGGGAGGGGGTGTCAATTCGCAACAGCAAAGTGTATTGCACAAAAGCAAAAAATTAAATATAAATTCAAATCATATAACCAATTCTAAGTTCTTTGACTACAGTTATTCTGTGTCAGAAACCTATTATGTGTCAAATATTTAATTACAATCCAAATTCAGACCTGTATCAAGCGCGAGTATTGTGTCCATTTTTGCCCCAACTGTTCAGGGTTGGACCTCTGCTGTTGTATCCAGCTACGCTCAGTGAAGCATTTTATTTTAATCTATCACATGAATTCAAACAGACCTAGAAAAAATTGTTATTATGCTATTGCACATGCTTGTCCGTCTATTTATACATCTATATATTTATTAACCAGGTTTCAGAAAGAAAAATCTGGTTATTAAAAAAATGGTAAAGTATGGCAACAGTTTCCATGCAATTACTTATGAACCTTTCAACCAACGCTTTTCAAATTTAAATATGTTGTTACTGGTGACAAAATGAAGGTCAGGTTTAATATTGAAGATTTTCACTTTTACAGTTCTGGAGCCATGCATGGTTCTTGATATATTTGAAATGACACTTTTTGTCTTTATTGTGCTCTAACTAATGAACTGTTCCACCAATGCTTTTCAAATATGAATACTGTAAATTCAGAAATTATTGCAAGGTTTTCATTATTGCGAATAATGCGACTAGGTGAGTTTTCGCATTAATTAGAACTCGCATTCTGATATCTGATACATACATCAGTATGCAGATTTTCCTGAAATCGCAATAATTAGTCTCTCATTTTTGTCCATTCTTCAAAAATTGCGCATAATAAATGCACGCAATAATTTCTATTTTATGTTGTTACTGATCATAACTGATGACAAGTGGATCGAGGTCATTAAGTTCGATATTGACGATTTTCTGTTTTACTGTTCAGTAATTACGGTATGGTTTTTGATAGATTGGAAAATGGCACTTAATGGTTGTATTAGTGCATTTACTTATTCTACCAATGCTTTTGAGGATCAGGAATTTGCAGCTCATTTCTTGATACCTGCGTCACCTATATTATCTAAAGCAGGTCTAGTAACCACTCCACTGCCAGTCCATTTGTCTGTATATCTGTCCCTCCTTGTGTCAGTCTGTCCATTTCTGTCATTCCGTCTAAAAGAAAAGTTTCGTCAAGATTTTCTTGCCTTTTCTTTAAGGGAATGATTTTTATATTTGGTCTGGAGCTTGATAATTTTGAGTTGTAGGGTGTAAGCAATTTTGACATCAGCTGTGCAGCCACTTCCTGTTTACTGATAGTTTGAAATTTTACAACACCCATTGTACAAGAAAAAAATTATGCAATTCTTTTTTGCTTCTATGGAAAAGAAAGATTTTTTATTTGGTCTGGAGCTTGAAAGGAAAATTTTTGTCAAACTTTTCTTGGCTTCTGTAGAGGTGAATGGTCAGTTATGCTCCAGTTAATAAGTGACCTCAATCAATTTGTCTTTGGGGGTCATCTTAATGGTTAATTAGATGGTGTCTTAGTCTTAATTTATACACACAAATTGCTGATACTTTATTATGATTTAATTGTTTATTGTTTCCTATGGAACTTTTGTAATTATTCCGTGCCTCAGATTGTAGAGGGATATTTTGTTTCCTGTATCAGGTTAAGTAGAGGGTTAAAGGATTTAGGGTAGTTTGTGGTCACATCAACTTTAAACTTAGTACACATGTTAATTAAGAGTTGGAATTGTTTAATAAATATACCAAATAAGGGGTATGAATCTGATTTCACAGTTTAGTGAACATAGAAAAGTGATAGGTTAAAGTTTTGGTTTAAGGTAGGTTAAGGTTTGGTTTAAGTAATTGTTGAATTTTAAGTATCAAGCTTCTTATGAACATGCTTTACAGCTCACAAAACATCTTTTCTTAAGTTGCAATCACTATCAACAGCTGTGGCTGCCTTAGCAAGCCTTCTCACAAGCAAACGCATCTTGAACTGCCTTCCAAATTTACTGCTCTCTAATTTGATTTCCTTGTTTGCCTACCTCTGTCTACCTGCATTGTGTCATTGTATCCATCAGTCAATCTGTTTGTCCAGTGAATTTTTTGTATCATAATATTATGCATGGAATATCAAATAATGGTCATTCAGAAAATTTGTGGCTTAGGGAATGATCTGAAATAAAAGATGGCTGCCATTAGAAAATATGGTTAACCATTTATCAATAGAGAAAATAGTATTGTGGAAATCACTACAAAATTGAGTTGTAATGTGAAAAAGAATTGCTACTTTGATGATGACAACAACAATAACAACAACCTTGATAGGAGTGGTGATTTAGATCACTTTCAGTCTACTTCTTCTCATAACCTGCTAATATAAAAATAATGCAAGTGCATGGTGGACACTCTTCTGTAAAAAAAAATCAAAGCCTTAAAGGCAGTAAAAGCAATTGCTGCCATGTTAATGTTTTGTGGACTTTTATTTTTCATCCATATATATAAGAATTAAACCTGACAGGACAGGAGTGTTGACTATTGAGAAGCAAGACGGTTTTAACTTTATATCAATACAAGACTTTAGCAGGAAATCATTTTAAATATGTTTTATATTTTACAAGGAGACAACAAGTTTGCCAGGCTAAAGTTGGGGTTAATTATACATGTGCTGAAACATATAACTGAAAAAAAAATCATTATGGATTATCCCCTGGTAGTGTTTGTAACTGGGCAATAATTTCCTTTATTGATTTAATTTTAACCATTTTCATAATTAATTTAAATTAACCATTCAGTTAAAACATTTCAACTTTCCAGACGCAAATGTTGAAAAACGGGACAGAAATAAAATATCTTACAAGACATAAACATGTAAAAAATAAATATATATTTCAGCTTACTAAAAATATTTTCATAATGTTACTTTGACATCATTTCTTAAAACTAAGTCCCAAACATAATTGCTCAGTTGACATGTGTCATCCTCATGCGATACGAGATAACTATAATTCTGATGCAATCCCGAAAAGGGGGGTCATCACAAATAAACAGGACATTGAATTGTCATTATACGAACTAGAACTATGTTGCTTTGATATTTATCAATTTTCAGGAAACATGTGAAATAAATGTCAGGTCCATTTCATTATAGTGCCTAACAAGATTGTGTGAGGTAGACGAAATTGACCTTAAAAAAATCGTATTGTCTTTTGATGTCCAAAAATAGGCAGATCGGACATATAAGGACTTTATCTAATGACTACATAAATTTGGGATTTATTATTATTATAATATTCTAATGAAACTGAAAATTGTATTTTTTTTTAGGATAAACAACAATTTTACCTGGCGTAGCCGTTCATAAATGTTTTTCTGCATTTATCTTCGAAAAATGGCGTATTTAATGGAATAGAACGTTAATAGAGTAAACTTTCTCTTTTTTCTCCGCAATAGGCTATCAAAAATAATTTATCTAATGTGTATGTGGAAAATTATGTGAAAAGATAAAAAGTGGCAATTGTTACCTTTCATACCTTAAGTTTCGTTCATCTGATTCTGACCAATGCTTATATACTAAATATCTATTTATATGCCGCTATAATTGTTGTTGTTACCAATTATGTAAATCAATTGTATCTGATTTTATGCCCTTTATGGGCCCTGTAATTTGGGAAATAAAAAAAAAATCTATTCATTGATAAAACGTAATATGGACTGGTCCAGTGTCCAGTTTGCAGGTCATTTAATTTTCTGTACACATTCATGCACGCTCTGATTTAATCAATATACTCGTACGAAAAAGCATGAACAGTTTGAAGGTAATCTAATAATAACTTAATCCAATCAAATTGCATAAGATTCAATAACGATGTCAAGTCCACATCATAATGAGTAATAGAGGTAAACTGGGTAGGGAGAAAATGACAGATATTTCAAGTTAATATTTATGCAATAACGAATTAAAATTTGTCAACCAAAAGTTTTGCTACAATTTCAAAAACATGTCGTTCTGTATGGGTATAGTTTTCGGATCTTTCATTAGCGTATTTAAGGCTATAAAAAGTTTGGGCTTCAAAAGTTCACACAATTATTGACTTTATACAGAAAATTCCTCCTTGTAAAACATTTAATAGTTCACAAATGATACGCGATTTTAAAGTAAAATTATTTCTTAAAACACTGCAAAAAATTTCATTCATATTGATAAAGTGGTATCGTCATAAAGTGCGTTGAAATGAACAGTGGTATAGCAAACATGGAATTCCCTCACAAAATGTTATCACACACTACAGTGAGGGGAGTCAGTTAAGTTTGTCTATTTTTAGATACTATACAGGTAATCTTTTGACACTACGTATACAACCTGTGTGACCTGTGTAGTGATTTTGATTTTACGATAAATTCATGAATGAACGATAATTTTATGAATGAACATGAGCACCTGACCTCTTTCTTAAACACCTATTAAACATATAAAACCGTATTTAATAAGGAGATAATTCAGTCAAATTTTCAGTACTAAATCAACAACTGAAATGATTCCATTTTTTGATGAAACATCGTACGAACGGAGAACGGAATCGCACGTATAAAAATGCACTTTTTTCCCTTGTAATGACCGCGGATCTATAATTTTTATAGATCGGTTGAAATCCCAAAACTAATTTGCATAATGGAAATTTAGGCGATAGCAATACATCGGAGTGACCTCAAGGTCATCCTCTGTAATAAGAAGATGTGGTATGATTGCCAATGAGACAACTCTTTACCAGAGACCAAATGATGCAGAAGGTTAGCAACTTTAAGCAGATTTCAGCCAAACTTTTCTTCCAGCATACTTTTTACATGGTTAAATGGATTCTAAGTAATGGTGTACATTGTATCACAATAATTTGAAATTTGCATTTAGCATGATAGAAGTGACTTTTAAGTTTTAATGCATGTTTACTTCTTTATTTGTATGATTCCTTGACAGCAATTTTTGTATTTAATATTCCAAATATGCGTGTTTTAAAAATTTTTGTAAGTAAATATGTATCACTTGCATGACCTACTTTAATTTACTGTAGATTCATTAATATAAGTGTGATACCAATTTTTTCATGATTTAGGTTAATCATGAATTTAAATGTTCAACGAAGTACAAATTTTCTATAATCTTGAATGCAAACTTTAGCAAAACCATGAAATCAATTATCCACGAAAATACAATTTTTCCTCAATTCATGAAAATCGGTATCCA